TATATATACATACACTGAACTGTTTAGGGGTCGCCACAGTGAATCATCACACTGACGACTCACCGACTCACATATTAACATGTGTTTTACGCCAGATGCCCTTCCTGACGTAACCCTGATTCAAACCTGGGCTGCAGTGGCGAGAGCGCTATGCCTTAACCACTAGCCTACCAGGGAAGGCTCCTTTCTTTCTTTCTTATATACAGTATATGCTGAAAAGGGGCTCCACAGTGGTCCATTAGCACCGACAGCAAACATCAAGGCATGATACCTCCAAGACACTGGGCCCTCACTGCAGAAGTACACATACTGAATACCTGAAAACAAATTTCAACCTTTCAAACACTGATTTGTAATACCGAAACAAATAAAGCAATTTTTTAAGACTTTTGAATCCTATTTACAAATATTTAAACCACAATTTTCAGTTTTAAAATCATATTTTACACATTTAAAATTCATTTTTAACCTTTTAAACACTAGTTTCCATGTTACATATTGTTGTCTCCATTTCACATTATATGATTGTGTGTGAAGCAGGACAGGTTTGGAGTTTAAAATCACTACTGGGTGCAGAGAAAGGATTTCAGGAAATTAGAAAGGGATTAGTCCGATACATTGTAGAAACGATATTGGTAAATATGATGTAGACGTTTTTGTTGATCTGTTTATTTGTTTTGTTCATTCCCAGAGCTCAGATAATATAATGCAGTGACTCCACACGCTCCGATGCAGTAGGTGGCGGTATGTACCTTAATCGGTTCGCAATCCGCCAGAAAACGAAGAGAAAAAGAAGAAGTCAAACAATATTCCTCAGCCTGGCTGTAGTTTTTCTGATATTTTGAAAGGGCAAAACGACCTGGTCATGATAGATAGTGTTGTATCGTGTTTCTTGCTTCAAGTGTCTTCTTAAGATAAAAGTTAGATTCTTCCATCTGAAAGAAGCGTATAGCGCTCACTGTGACCATGTCTACTGCCGTGGACTTTCATTCTCAAATAGCCTCCATCATGGAGGTGCTGGCTAACGCGGCCGTAGCAGAAATTTGCAAAGTTGTAGACGACGGGTATGCAGTTGTTCATCTAGAAATGTCCCGGAGCCAGAAGGAGAACGAGTTTCTACGAAGGAAAATAAAGCTACTTGAGCTCCAGATCGCCCGGTATCGAGCGGAGAGAGTGAAAGGAATGGAGGGCTCCATCAGTAGCCGCTTTCCTGGGGTCCGCCTCCTCAACCGACATAGCAAGGATTCGTTGGCCGGTACGTACCTCCAGTACCTCTAATATCTGTTTAGAAATCTAGTGACAGTGTGCACACACTGGTGCACCTGATGTTGTGACTAGTTTAACGTGTGACCTTCAGCAGAATGTGGTATGGAGCCAAATGGGGGCCATATGTTTTGTTAATATGAAAAACAAAATTGTATCAGAAAACCTAAATTTGAAACTGAAAGCTAAAGTATTGTTCTTGAACCCTGAAAAATATAACAGTTTAACTAAAAATGAATTAGTGGGTGAGGAGTTTTCACTTCAAATATAATTTTCATTCATTTTTAACAAAAATGTTTTTAGTTTCAGAATCAGAATCACCTTTATTGGCCAGGTGTGTTAACACAGGGGAATATTACCCTGATACAGTGGCTCCAGATGTGCATGTACAATGTTCTTCCATAAGGCAACAAGCAAACAAGATAACTGTGCAAACAAGTGCGCAGTGTGCATTAAGAAACCACAAAATAAAAATAAAGTACTTGAGTGGAGTAGAGATATGTGAGTAGAGTAGAGTAGAGTAGAGTAGAGATAGGTGTAGAGTAGAGTAGAGTTTCGGATAAATATATACAAAGGTATGTTTTATAGGGTTGTCATTCTGTTATACAGTCATGGGTTAAGTGTTCATCAGAGTGATGGCTCAGGGGAAGAAACTGCCCTTGTGCTCTCAGAAATACCTGTAAGATGCTGATTAGGACACATGCAGTTGATTTACTGTTTATTATGGCTCATAAGCTTTCCTATGGTGTGTTGTGTGCCCATGTGTAAACTAATTAATGTATGTGGATTTCAGTGATTCTCAATGACTGCACACCTCTCCTCTGCAGCAAAGTTAGAAAAATATTCACATGTTCAAACACAAACGACATGTGCTTGCAACCATAGTAAGGTAGACAAGAGGCTACAACTTTAGCACCATCATAAGAAGCTGTTCTCTGTGCTGCACAAACTGGTATCTATGTGCAGCTGGCTGTGAGATGAGTGCGCAGAGGGACTGTCTCCAGCATGGAGATAATTTGTAATGTTAAGTTTGTACGATGCTGCACCTTTTTATCTCCTGATATTACAAATCATTGCTACTCGAACTGTGTTTCACATACAGCAGCATTGAAAATTTCATTTCAGGGCTTGGCCCTCACCCAGAGCATTTTTTTTAAGTTATCAAGTGCAAAGTGGAGGAGACAGAGGACAGGGGAATTACAGAGCATGATGGTGAGTGAAAAGGGAGCCACCAAACGCCTAAGGACACTGATGCAGCTCAAGAGAGGAGAAGGAGAAAGAGACAAATTACAGAAATGGTTCCTTAAATTGGAGCGAGTGGTGAAATGCAATTTGAGGTAAGAATAGGACTAGGTAAGACCTGCAATTAAGCTCACAGTTATAATGTACCCAATAAAGTGTTTGTAAGCTGAAAATCAAGCTTACAGATGTTTTATGACTGCTATCACTGAACTGATGAACATCGGTGGCGGTGTTCCGCCCATGGACCTAGCTTGAATAGTTATTTCTGGAGAGCTATGAAAATGCATAATATAGCTCCCATGTCCCTTCACCAAGCTACATGTATATATTTAAAAGGGTCACTTGCAGGGGGTGTTGATAGATATAAAATTCTAGTTGGGCACAGGCCCCCTGTTACTCAAATCATACAATTCTTTTTTTCTTGAATGTTTGCGACATGAAGGAAATGTGCTTCCCTTGCTTAACTATTCCATGTAGAGATATTATTCTTTATAAAAATGTTTATTTCATTATATGTTATATGTTTTTTTAGTGTAAGGTCTGGCCCTGTATTCCACAATTCTTTGCATTTCACAATAATAACTAATTACATTGTCAAGCAGCCCCTAGTTTGAGCTCTAATTTACTTCAGTTCAATTCAAATTTATTTGTATAATGAGAGTTGAGACCACGACGCAGGGTTGCAGTGTTACGTGCCTCTCTGGAGTCTCTTTGCAGCTGCTACCCACCCAAAACTCTCAGTACCCCATAGAGACTGTGTCTGCACCCCCGAACCACCTACAATATATAAATCAAAAATCAACTCAAGAGGAGTTATTAAAAAGAACCTAATCAAAATTAAGGCTACTCCTCTTATAGAACAAAACAGGACAATCAAACATGGACTATTAAATATCAGATCCCTCTTGTCTAAATCTCTGTTAGTGAATGATTTCATAAGTAAACATCACATTGATTTATTGTGTTTGACTGAAACCTGGCTACAACAGGAAGAATATGTAAGCCTAAATGAATCCACCCCACCCAGCAACAGTAACTGCCACATCCCTCGAAGCACAGACCGAGGTGGAGGTGTGGTAGCAATCTTTGACTCAAGCCTATTAATCAACCCTAGACCTAAACATAGTTATAAATTATGTGAAAGCCTCACTCTGAGTTTCTCACACCCAAACTGGAAAACTCCAAAGCCTGTTCTATTTGTTATTGTATACCGTCCACCTGCTCCTTATTCAGAGTTTTCAAGTGAATTCTCAGACTTTGTCTGATTTAGTGCTTAGTACAGATAAAATAAACATAGTGGTTGACCCAAATGTTCATGTAGATGCTGAAATTGACAGCCTCAACAGTGCATTCAATTGATTGGACTCAGCTGGCTTTTCTCAAACTGTAAATAAACCCACATTGTGAAGGAAAAATTCCCGTTTACCTGTACTAAAATGAACAACCTTTAGTGAGTGTGAAATAAAGATAATTGAGATAGATATGTCCTTTGTTTTTTATTTTTTGCAAGAAATAGGAGCGGCCTTGTTAGAAATTAACCCGATTCCCGTTACAGTAGATGTCTGACAATGCTGTTAGCAAATTTAAGGAAATAATTCCATTATTATTTACTTCAGTACCATGTGCTTTACTCCCATACAAGTTGATAGTACTGCAGCCTCCCTGCATACGATACTTGATTCTCTTGCCCCTCTGAAAATGAAGGCAGTGAAACAGAGGAGGCTTGCCCCGTGGTACAACTAGCAGCTCTGCTCTCTAATGCAGGTATCACAAAAACTGGAAAGGAAGTGATGTTCCACTATTTCAGAGGACTTTTTCCTAGCCCGGAAAGATAGTTTAATAACATATAAAAAATCCCAAAGAGCTTACTGACGTGTTGACCAACGTCTTCAACACCTCACTTTCTCAAGTTGTGGTTCCTACATGTCTCAAAACAGCTACCATCATCCCTGTGCAGAACTCAGCACCCTCAGGCATGAATGAGCATCGTCCAGTGGCTCTCACCCCATGAAATGTAGTCATGAAATGCTTTGAATGGCTCGTCATGGCACACTTTAAGACAATGTTAGCACTACTGTGGACCCCCATCAATATGTCTACAGGAAGAACCGGTCTACGGATGCAGTGTCCTCTGTTATCTACACTGCTCTCATCCACCTGGAATGCAGAGACACCTACAGCTGCTCTCTGCATTTAATACAATCATCCCACAGACTCTAGTCCACCAACTCCTGCTACTTGGTGTAAAGTCATCACTCTGCAATTGGGCCCTGGACTTTGTGACCAACAGGCCTCAGGTGGTTAAAGTCCATGGCATCTCATCCTTGTCCATCATGCTTAACACCGGCTCCCCCCGAAGGGATGTGTCCTAAGCCCCCTACTGTACATGCTACTTATGATTGCACAGCCAGGTACCTAAGTAATCATATTGTAAAGTTTACAGATGAAACGGCTGTTGTGAGATTAATATCCCACAACGACGAGTCTGTGTATAGAAGGGAGGTAGAGAATCTTGTGGACTGGTGCAGGGCAAACAATCTCTGCATCAATGTGGGGAAGTTGAAGGAGATGGTTGTGGACTTCAGGAGGAGTGGTCACACCCCACTTCCTCTTTTCATTGAATTTGTGGCTGTGGAAATGGTTTTCAGCATAAAGTACTTAGAGCTTCACATCTCTAGGGACTTCACATGAACCATTAATCCAGCCTCCATCATAAAAAAGGTCCAGTCTTCAGTCTTAACAGCCTTCTACCAGTGTGTGGTGGAGAACATCCTGACATCATCCATCACACTCCGGTACAGGAGCTGGCCTGCCGCTGACAGAAAGTTGCTGCAGAGGGTCATTAAATTATCCCAAAAGACTATTATACACTGGAGTCTGCCTTCCATTGAGGACATCTACATCAGCAGGTGCAGGACCAGAGCCTCCTCTGTTATGGATGACAGCACATGGACTGTTTGAATTCCTTCCCTCAGGCAGGAGGCTGCGGAGCATCTAGGCCAGGACTGTTATGGTTTAGTCCCCCTCACCAGGAGGGTGAGGGAGAACTGGGGTTGGACTCAAGATGGCTGACCCAGGTGCTAGTACAAAAAAGGTGGTTTAATGGAACAAAAACAACAAAATGACAACATAACAGGGTCCATAATACATACAACCAGGGAAGGGCAGTGATGACTAAGGAGACCAGGACGAACAGGTAAACACACAAACTAACGGCAGGAACTAGAATAGCAGAGGATGAGAACGGACAGGTGAACAAAAAAAGAACCAACGTACACAATGTAATCCACAGCACAGGGACTGTCAGCATGGAAGACAAAAGGACATATTGCTAACCGCATAATTAGCGTGATAAGGTCAAGCCAAAACGCACAGGAACTGTCAGCGTAGCATCTTAAACACGTCTAAAAATGCGGGTCAAACATAACATTTATCTTACCTTGGGTAAGTATTGTCCGTTACATGTCGCAGTGATCCGGCCCAGGCGGAGCGTCTGCCCGAGGTATAAATGAGGAAAACTAATCAGCGGGATGCACCCCGGCTGTGTGCACCAACAAACGAATCGCCACTTACCGAGTGCAACACAGCTGAGGTGCAGAATCCCGCAGATCAAGAAAATAGAGGAGAGAAAGGTGGAGGAGAGGCAGCGGCCACCGAGTGGCCCTGACAAGGACCACCAGGCTTAAATCCAGTTTCCTACCAGAAGCTGTGAGAATTATTCAAGATTCAAAGTGTTTACCTTCATATGCA